TGTATGGCTGTGGGCAGGAGGCTGGCTTGCAAAATGTGCCCTTTGTACATTTAAACAAATATATCCTTCCTGTGTGGTATGTGTATATCAAGGAGTTTGGGTAGCAGAGTGGTTACAAGTAGGGCTGCTAATCTCATGGTCAGCAGTTTGAAGCTACCAGAGGTTACACAGGAGAAAGATGAGGCTTTCTGCTCCTGTAAAGATTTACAGCCTTGGAACTCCTATTCAGGGTCACAATGAGTGAGAACCACTACATGTGTATATCAAAAAAAAGGAAAAAAAAGAGAAGGGGGAAATAGAGACAAATACTGTTACCTAATGGAGTCCTGGTATGGTGCTGTGGGTTAATGTGCCAGACTACAAAGCCGTTTGAACTGCAAGGTCAGTGGTTCAAGCTCACCAGCTGCTCCTTGGAAACCCTATACAGGGTCGCTATGGGTCAGAATCGACTCGACGGCACTTGACAACAACAACAATGGTGCATAGAGGGGATTGTAATCATTGCAATGATATAAAGTATAATTTGTTGAATGTAAAACTGATGATGGTCTGCTCTGTGAACTTTCACTCAATTCACAATAAAAATTTACCAAAAAAAAAAAGAGTCTTTCTTCTCCCATAAAGATTAACTACCTTGGAAATTCTATATAGGGTTGGTATGAGCTGTCATCAGTACAACAGCACAGGTTTTGTTTGGTTTTGGATATAGTTACTATAATGTTGTTGCTGCCATTAAGTGCCAATGAGTCAGTTCCGATTCATAGTGACCCTGTACAGGATTGCCAAAGAGCAGCTGGTGGGTTTGAACTGCCAACGTTGTGGTTAGCAGTCCAGTGGTTACCTTACAGCAACACACCAACTACAGTTAGAAAGACAGACAATACTCAGTGTTGGTGAGGATGTAGATAAATTTGAACCCTCATACATTGCCAGTGAAAATGTAAAATGGCATAGCCCCTTGGAGCACGGTGGCTCTGTAGAATAAGGACCGGATTGCTGACCTTTTGGTTGAGCCCACCAGCCACTCCACTGGAAAAGATGAGGCTTTCTTCTCCTGCAAAGATTTATAGCCTCGCAAATCCTGTACAGGGTAACTATGAGTTAGAACCAACTAGATGGCACTTAACAATAACAATAGCCACTTTGTAAAACAGTTGAGCAATTACTTATGAAATGAGACATATACTTATCTTATGACTCAACAAATCTACTCTTAGGAAACTACTCAAAAGAAGAAAGAAAAAAAAAAGACTTGTATTTGAATCTTTACAGCAATTTTATTCATAATAATCCCAAACTGGAAATAATAAAATTGTCTATCAACTGTTGTGTTGAATAAATAAATGTTGTATATTCATATAATGGAACATACTTAGCTATATAGATAGGACCACCTACTGAAAGATGCTACAAATTCATGACTTTCTAAAACATTATGCTAAGTGAAAAAAGCAAGACACAAAATATCACCTATTACATGATTTCATGAATATGAAATATCCAGAAAAGGCAAATGCAAATTTATAGAGACAGAAAATAGAACTGTGGCTATCTGCAGCTGGGGAGGAGAGCGAACATAAACTGTCAGTGGCGTGATGGAACTTTTTGTAGTGATGGAAATGTTCTGAAACTAGTTTTTGATTGTTACAACACAATCTTATTCATATCCTAAAATCGTTGAATTGAAATTGGATGAATTTTATGTATGTGAGTTTTACCTTGGTAAAGATATTTTTTAAATTTCATAAAAAATCATATATGATGATGAGCAAGAGAAAAGGAAAACAAACAAAAGAACACTGAATATAAGTCAGAATGCAATGAAATGCATCGGTTTGTACATTAAGGCCCTGAGACATCAAGAAAGGGGGTAAATCAGTAGAATCTGAAAAAGCTGCAAAGGCCCATACTGAGTCATAAAACATGGGTAAGGTTTGAATTTTAAAAAGGGAAACAAAGATCATTGCAGACAATAAAATAGCACAAGAAATGCAAGATAACAATATTTGTGGGTATAAGGCCATGAAGGCAGTTGGGTTTGTGGGGAGGAATGGAGAATGCATGAATTGTTACATGCAACAGGATCAGGTTTTAGAAATACAATATAATGGGGCAAAGAAGGGAGGAGTTATAAAAGGGCCAGATAAATTACTTCATTCTTTGTATCCACATGATTCAAGGAGGCCAAGGTACGTCTTATTGGAAAGGATGAGCACAGTAAACATAATGTCTGTGGGGTTAAAACCAAACAACAAAACAAAAAATGTATTCTTTACAAGTAGTAGAAAACATTCAGGGAATTCATTGTTGTTACAGTGTGCCACTAAGTCAGTTCTGACTCATAGAGACCCTGTATAAGATTTCCAAGGAGCAGCTGGTAGATTTGACCTTTCAACCTTGCAGTTACCAGTTCAGTGCTTAAGTGTATAAGTGCTCATCCTACTGCATCACACCAGGGCTCAATTATTTCATAAGTGTACAGAATAAGCAACTGGTGGTTTGATAATTAAAATCAAACCGAAAGACATAGTGAATTATAACAGTAATAAAAACTATACTTGCCACATTCCTAAATAATTAATTTTACTGTCATTTTTCATCAAAAAGTAAGATAAGCTAATGAATGCCATATTATTTTATGAATTTATTGCCTCAACCATAACACTAAATGCTCCCTTTCATTTTTTTAAACAGAAACCTTTCAAAACCTGTACAACACATTTCACAGAATCATACACAGTTGTGATTTAAAAACAGGGCAGATTCTTTTCAATTCAGTTAAATTGCTCAAAATAGCTGAAATATACATCAACTCTGAGCCACCCAACTTTTCAATTTTGAACAATTAATATCCTGGCAATCAAGGGCAAGTGGAGATCAAACTATTGTATGGACAGAATTCAGTGATTTAGGGCCCCATTCCATCCTATTAGTCAAGACTGTCCAATGTCATAGCCAAAGCCAGCCCCAAGATAAAAATGTATGCAAAATAACAGAGTCAAGTTAACATTATTTCTCCCATAATCTTTGGTTTTACACTTTATCACAGTATGTATTATCTAACAAAGAATCATTCAAATAAGCTGTGTTCAGTATGCGTTTGTCTGAACCATGTTTTCCAGAAGTCATAGGCATTTAGTTAATAAACATGATCTAAGATCCAGGAAAGAACAATAGGCATTTAGTTAATAAACATGATCTGAGATCCAGGAAAGTTTTCATCAAGATAATTCCAAATGTAGACCAGTTGCTTATTTCAGCAACTTTTCTAAATTATTAGTTGAAAATGTACTAAAGAAAGTAATTGTACATTTCTCTGCACTATCATTAGGGGTTTCATACCCCTCATATTATGAAAATGTAGAAAACCTTGCTACTGAGAATAGCTTACTAGGGCCAGGACAGTAGCAGAGGTTCTTTGCCTTATCAGGGGAGGCATCTGCTCTTGTCTCTCCATAGAAGTGAACAAATGACCTTGGGAAGTCACTCTATCTATCTAGGGACTCTTGTCCTTCAGTTCATCTGCACAATGGAAAGAACAAACTGAAATGCTTTTAAGATGAGTCAAACTAAATTATATTTCAGGGCATATATAAAATGGCGGGGATAGCTATAAACATTATTGATCATCATACATTACAAACAGCCCTGGTGACACAATGATTAAGTGCTTGGCTGCTAACCAAAAGACTGGCAGTTCAAACCCACCAGCTGATCTGCAGGGGAAAGATGTGGCAATCTGCTTCTATAAAGATTACAGCCTTGGCAACCCTACCAGGCAATTCTACTCTGCCCAATAGGGTTTGACTCAGTAGCACGCATCAGCAACAATATTATATATTACTTTGAAGTAAAACTAACACTCAAGCATTTACTTTTTCTTATGTTAGAAAATTTTAAATATGTGGTCCCTAAATATATAGTTTATATATTTCGCTGTAAGTCCTTGATTTTTAAAAATAAAAAATCACTGTTTTTGCAAACAGTTAACACACTTGGCTGCTATCAGAAAGACTTGCAGTTTGAATTCATCCAGAGACACATGAGAAGAAAGGTTGATCATCTACTTCTAAAAAATCAGTTACTGAAAATCCATTGGATCAATGATCTACTGTGACACACATGGGGGAGTCATGAGTTGGAATCAGCTCCAGGGCAACTGGTGGTGGTGATGGACATGATTTTTTTTTTTTTTTTAATAAAAATCAGATTAGAGACATTAGAAAGGCCAAAAGTAACAACTCCATACTTGCTTCCCAACTCTTTGCTAAACTTATATCTCAAGATTATTCAAATCTAACATTTTTTTTTAATTACTAAAAATAGTATTACTTTCTAAACAGAACTTCTCAAGCAAGGAAGTAGCAAATATAATTCAGTAACACCTCTTCATTTTAACTGCTGTTCCACAGAACTGCATATTGGAGGAAAACATTACAGTACAATATGTGAAAACCTATATTGGATATAAAATTATCTTATGCTCCCAAACACGGATTTATGATCAAATAAAAGCAGAAACGTACTAAAAAGACATTTGGTCAAATTCGACACCGAGTTATTTAGGTGTGATTCACCCTGACTTTTATAAGATTTGAGATTGTTATCTCAATGCACCTCTAAAGAGAAAATTGTCAATCTGGTATTTTTCTCTTAGAATAATATATGACATAATTCACTGTGCCAAGTCAAACCATTAACTTGTAATTTGGGGGACAGCTTATTTGTTCAATATTTTAATGATCATGTATCTCTATCCCACAGTTAATCTGTTACCGGATTAAATCACTTCAAATTCTTTTTTCCACAACTACAAGAGTAATTGCTGCTTCAGTTTCAATCATGGGGCCATAAATCTATATTTACTTTTAGGCAGCTGGTTTATAAGTCCCTAGATATGCATAATTTTATAGAGTGATTGAAGTCATTTTGATATTATATCAACAACAGCTTATCTGTATCGACTTCAATTTAAAAAATATTTCACATTTTATATGTACCTTTTTCGAGTAGTTTGCCTTTGTAGACACAAAGGTTTTCTCCACCACAGTGTTGTTGATAAACTTTTATTTCATCCCTGAAGTCTGAAACATCATAAGAGAGGTGCACGCTTTTCCCCAAATAGATCATTGTTATAGCTGCATTGCTATGCAGTGATGCTTTATGGATCCTCCTTGAATCCTAAAAAAAACAAAAAAGGGAGACTTGTTAACTAGTTAAAGTTCTTAACTGCACATGACATTTGTAACATAAAAATAATAGAAAAGGCTATTTTGAGGTGGTTGTTGTTAAGTGCTGTTGACTGAGTTCTGACTCACAGCAACCCTATTTAGGGTTTCTGAGGAACAGCTGGTAAATTTGAACTGCCAACCTTGTGGTTCACAGTCTAGTGCTGATCCTACAGCAGCACATGGGGCTGTTGTGGCACTCTAGGTTAATGCACTGGACTGCAAAGTCGGTTTGAACCACAAGACCGGCAGTTCAAGCTCACCATCCGCTCCTCGGAAACCCTACTCAGGATCGCTATAGGTCAGAACTGACTCAACAGCACTTAACAACAACAGCAACCATGTCAACCTACTCTGTATACAAAAAAACCAAGCCTGTTACAAACTAATTCCCT